CATCCTCTGGGCTCTCCCGCCTACCATTCAATCAGCAACCGGGCCTTCCCGCCAACCCTACCAACATTTGGGCTCTCCCGCCGACCATATACGCATCTCTGGGCTCTCCCGCCTACCTTCATCAGCAACTGGGCCTTCCCGCCTACCCTACCAACACCATTTGGGCTCTCCCGCCGACCATATACGCATCTCTGGGCTCTCCCCCTACCGTTCATCAGCAACCGGGCCTTCCCCCACCCTACCACACCATTTGGGCTCTCCCCGCCGACCATATACGCATCTCTCTCTGGGCTCTCCCCTACTTCAATCAGCAACCCGGGCCTTCCCGCCTACCCTACCACACCATTTGGGCTCTCCCCCGACCATATACGCATCTCTGGGCTCTCCCATCTACCGTTCAATCAGCAACCGGGCCTTCCGCCACCCTACCAACACCATTTGGGCTCTCCCACTGTATAACATCATTTGGGCTCTCCTGCCTACCCCTTCTACTACTATCTGGGCTTCCCACCGACCCTAATATACCATTGGGCTCTCCCTCCTGACCATAATGACACTATTTGGACTCTTCCATCTACCTCTCAACTACTATCCAGGTGTTCCCACTCACCCTAATTATGCTATTATATGCTGGCCTTGATCAGCTCTTGTAGACTTCGGAGTATGTTCAAATCACATGCATTTCAGTATTTGTATTCAACCCAAAGTGCACATATTTCCATTTACCTGAGCACAATGAACACAAATCCATCTGAATATAGAAATTGAAATCTACAAAAAGCAATATTGTGTGCAAAGTACATGTCTACATAATTGCTAGTGTGGTAGACTGAATAGGATGACGGGCAAAAGACTTTGCAAAGTTTTGATGAGATGAGCAGCATTCAGCAGCCATATACAATTTGACACCCTAAAGATATAAGGACTTGTGGTGTAACGGTTAGAGTGTGTATGCCTGCATAGCATGTTTATGTGAGTTCGAACCTGCCAACGTGCATTTTAATATTTGTTTTTTTTCTTCAGCAGAAAAATCCGTGGAGGTCGATTCAATCCTCTTGCATGTGATGATAAATTATGTTGCCATTCGTCGTTGTCACCAAACCTTCTCACAGATATAGTGCGCAAACTTAATTTCACACGTTTTGGGCCGTTGGTACACATATGATTGCATTACAGATCGTCAACAAAAGGGAGACAGACATGACCTGTCTTGTTCCGACACATGGGAGTACTAACATTACATGTGAAAGCTTCATCCCCGCAAGAGACAACTGAAGTGATGAGGTACCCGAAGTACAACAGTGAGAGGTACACGAAGTACAACAGCTAGAGGTACCCGAAGTACAAAAACGTGAGGCGCTAATATGAACAACCAAAGGCAAGCAAAGTCAATATGAATGAGTGGACAGCACAATTCTTGCCCATGTTAGTAGCGAAACCGCGAAGGCCCGTCTTCATAATGAGAGTCACCAGCTCTCCTTACTTGGAACCTCTGATTGAAATCATCAGCATGATTTTGCCGGCGTGAGTGAGCAGGACGTCCAGGATAAGAACCATCATCGCTAAGCGACAGGAAAGTCTCGCGTTGCCTGTAGGTGGGCCGATAGTACCTTGAGCGAGATGGATCTCGCTGAGGGTATACAGGAGGTGAACGAGAATATTCACGGCGGCGGTTTGGGGCAACGAAATCTCTGTCCTCACGACGAGGGCCTGGGTAGGGCGCAAGCCTAAGCAATTAAATTAATATATGTTGGAAGTCGTGGAAAGGTAAGACATACTCCAAGTCTGCATCATTACGAGAGTCAGCGGGACGCTCCTCCATGCGGCGCATGAATGTAGGGTCAACCTGAAGAAGATCAACATTGAGTCTTGACGGAATAGCGTAGCACTTACCCGTAAAGGTTTCTTCGCCTTGAACGGCAGGCTAGCCTGTCGTCTTCCACCACCGACAGGTTCATCTCTGCTTGTAGGCAGAACAGGGCGAGATTCACGATCAAACACATTTGGGACTGAGGAAGATGAGTGTCCTCGCGGCGATGTACTGCTGTGAAATTGGTAGGGTGACGTTGGTTTGATGGCAAGGTCGGGGGGCTCGGAGTGACAGGAGATTCATGATCACTTGGCAGCGTGTCGTGAGTAGAGGGAGTCTGACCATCCGGATGTGCTTCATGAGCTGCCAATATATCTTCAGGGACAGACGCCTTAAATTTGGCGGAGTCTACTAGCTTGCGTAGCACAACATCCAAGGCACTGGTCACCAAGGGAATGTCGAACATCTCCGGCACCTCGTCATTGAGCTGCTTGATACATTCTTGCACAATCGACATCAGAAAACAAAGGTATAATGATAACGTGGAAATGACATACCATCTGGCCAAGCTGCGAACTCGATCTCGGGTACATCGACATCTAATTCACTCATGACGTCTTCCACAGTGCGCCCCTGACCTCGGCGCTTGCCCTTCGACTTCTTTTCTCTAGCTCTAACAAGCTCTCAGCTTCAGTGCGGAGCTCTGCCTCATAATAAGAATGCGCTTTGCGCTTGATGAAAGGAACGACAAGTAGCTTGAGGTGCTGAGAACTTAGGTTGTGAGGATTGAATTCGGGACCGATAGGAAGGACGTCTTCAGGCCAGTTCTTAATCATGAACTTGTACTGGAAAGCATAGTCAAGAAGCTTCCGCCACTGGACTGCTTTGGGTTGATACCCAAACTTCGCTATTTGAGCAGAATCCAATGAATCGTTGAATTTGGACAAACTTGAGTACTCACAAGTGTGCTCGAGTACCATAATTGGCCATATCCTCCTGTAACGGTCGCGGGGAGCCTCGTTTGGCTTTGAAAGTAGAATCTCGTAAGCCCCTACTCCCCCCATGAACTGCGGCACGGATATATTGTAGCCTTTCGCTCTGTGAATATATCAGGAGGTAGGAAAAGTCCAGAATAATAAGACGTACTTCGTTGCAGTCACGACCCAATCTAATATTGCGCGAGCATCCAGTTGATGCTCATTGATCAACTTGACTATGAGGTCGGAGCCCGCGACAAAGCCGGATGCCTGTCGAGCAGCCTCGTCTTGTGTTGTATCAAATATACAGCCGATGGCCTCGACTCCTTCAAGGCGAGAATAAGCAGACAACTGTATTGAGTCATTAGTCGTAATTTAGAATGCGCTAATGAAGTAGATGTACCTTTCTTGCAATATCCTCCCTCATTGACAAAATGGTCTTGGCGCGTGATTGATTGGTATTGCCGCCAGTAACGTTATAGTTGCGAATGATGTCCCACTCTTCGTCATCCTTGCCCATCGCATATGTTTTGCGTTGACGTTCTTTCCAGTCGATGATAGCTGAGACTCTCGAGTTAGCATCATATACACCACAGAATGGGGGACTGACATTCTTTGTCCTTGCGGGGGTTATTATCCATGAACCAGCGTTGGTGGGCATTCCAATCAGACTCTGATCGTGAATGCTTGATGGACAGACCAGCCTCAATGAGAATAGCGCGCGGACTTGCCATACTTGGCGCCAATCACCCGAGCTTCTTCTGCTGTTTTCTGTCCAAGTTCCTGAGCCTCATCGATGCCCTCCTGACATAGCCGTCCACGCTTTAAATGACCTGAGGGTTCGTCTTCATTCTCACTGTTGTCAATGTCCGGCGTCGGGCCAAAGACTATACTGGCTGGAGTGGGGTTGCCACCATGTGAAATAGCTGCATGCTTCTTGCGAACGGTTGTCGAGTGAGATGTTTTTTGGGAAGTGTTGGCCAAGGTAGTTTCGATCGCTGAAGACCTTTTCCTGCGCTTAGCAGGCGGTGAAGACGGGCTGTTGTGGTTGGGTCGAGGTCTTTGTTTGCATCTGACTCATGGGCGGAATCTTGATCAGATGTTGCGGGGCCTTCACGGTAGCTGGTATCCGATGAAGAGCTTTGAGAACCATCATCGAAATGTAAATTGTAGCTGCTTCTCTTGACCCTTCGAGGCCGAAGTCTCCTGGCTGCGTACAACAGATGACCATCAGCCCTCCCCACTAAGAGAAAAGTAAGATAGTACATACCTTGTGAAGTCTCGAAGTCCTTGTTATTTTCGCCACCCTCAGGCTCTTCATCGCCACCCTCAAGCTCTTCATCGCCACCCTCAGGCTCTTCATCGCCATCCTTGGCGTCGTTGTCGCTATCACCTTCTACGTTGTCTTCACGGTGACAACCGTCAGCCTTCCCAACGATATACTAAATGAAAAATATATACCTGAAGTCTTTCCACGTACGGAGCCATCATTATCCTCATCCTCATCTTCGTTAGCCTGGCTGTGTTCACGGTCTTCATTGGTCATATCATCATCGGCATCATTGTCGCTACCTTCATATCGTTCATCATCATCCATGCGAGTGTCCGTAACGGGTACGTCATCGTCGATGTCAGGTGTATCTATGAAAGGGGTTAGTATAGTTATTGTTGTGAATGCCGTAAGTCATTACCTGGGGGATGGTCGCTTTGCAACTCCATTCCAGAAGAGACGGAGTCCGCTGTGGGTTTTAAGTGTTGTTTGCGAGGGCGAGCAAGGATTCGAGCATAGTCCTCAAAGGTCGTACCCGAGGAACGTCGGGGTAAAGGACGAGGTTTTGGCCGGTGAGGGTCATCCGGAGCAGGAGATGACTCGGGACAGCATTTCTTTGGCGCTTATTATTTTGTTTGGCGGGGGGGTTGATGGCAACACCACTGCGTGTGCGCATGACATAGGTGCCAGACACTGTGGGGTCATGAGTGCCAGTACCGGTAGCACCACGACGGGCTGCATTTCTGGTAGACGGTGCCATTGAAACGTAGGCGGGCTTGATACTGAGAAAAGGGGTGCTTTACACGAATGTTGAAGCAGGGCAGCTTGTGAAACACGAAGTCTTACAGCTAGATTTCAAGACTCGAAGTCTTGACAGGACGATAGAAGAGTACAGAAAACTAATGGTTGCGAGTCAAAAGAAGAAAGATTCTTGTTTAAAAAACACGAACATTGCGGGTTTTAACTAATGGTAAGGCGCCCAATACACATCAAGAAATAATATTCCAAAGTTGTAATCCCGCCCAATCGACACCGAAACGAACAGAGGTACATTGAAAGAACATTGTTAGAAAAATGGAATATTCACCGCAAAGGATCGTATACTAACTTATTGGGGATGGCCCACATTAAAAAAGCTTCGAAACTTACGAAAATGAGGGTCCAAATGGGTGATGGGGCGAATATGAGCTCTCCGCGTAAGAGTCCAGGCTACTGGCGTACTGATGATGCCATGGTCATCATCAAAAATCTCCTCCAGCGTGTCGAGAAAAGAATGCTTACAATTATACGCGCCAGTGTCCCTACCATATTTTGCATACCCCAAACTTTGATTATCTGTTGTAAGTAGAATGAAACGATTGTATAATTGTAAGATGGGGGAGACGTACCGATCGGTAGTTGGAATACAAAGATGTTGAGCGTTCAAAATTCCCGCAGACGATGAAATAGAATTGAGTTGCTGGACATGCGCTTGCGCAGAGAACGAATAGATAGTGGCGCAGTGTTGAGGCATCCGACTCGTAGTCAGACAGCCAGACAGTGCTGGATGACGCGAAGTCACCCAGCCAAAGCGTGTCTGCCTCGAAGGCAGAACCATGCGATCAGGCCAGTCGATGCGGTGGAGACAAGGGTGGGAGATGAGGATGTCGTTGAAAAATCCTGCGTGTAATCAATTAGAATAGAGTTAAATGGACACATACATTTGTAGAGGATGGATGTGGGCGAGGTGTTGAGGTAGGTAGACCGTAATCTGACTCGTAGTCAGACGGCCAGATAGCGCTGGATGACACGAAGTCATACAGGCAGAACTTGTCTGCCTCGAAGGCAGACCATGCGATGAGGCCAGAGGTTGAAGATGGGGGCAAACGATGAGGGCAGAGGGCAGACGATGAGTGGAAACGGGGCCAAACATTGATGAGATTACTAAATTGGTCGAAATCAGAAGGGCTTTCCCAGGCTTTGGTCTGGGCTTTCCCACTCTAGGTAAGGGCTTTCCCACACTGAATCAAAGTGTGAAGTCCATTTTGAACGCTTTTCCTCATCCTCAACGCCACTCCTCATCGCGGCGGCTCACATTCCCCAGCCTATTCCCCAGCCTCTACAGTCTACCTTCGTGGTGGGCGTCCTTTGAGCAGCAACTTCGTGTTGTTTGCTACTATCGATTGCTTAGACTTCGGTCGGCAGTCTTGTCATCCACCAGCTCAGTATCGTGCTACGACCGCCTTGATTTATGCTATTATTACTAACATCACGCCCTCACCAGATCTCTCCCATCTTTCAAGACTCTTACTGCCTTCGTGGGTCTTAGACTTCATAGGTAAGTACATTCGTTATTCGTCACGCTATTATGACTACATTAGGTCTTTAACCAGACTCGCTCAAGACTCCTGTCGCCCTTTACAGTAAGTTCGTTCATTACACTGATTCATGCTATCATCACTGACACCACGCCTTCGTCAGATTTCTCCTGAATCTTTCAAGACACTCTCTCGCTCGCTATCTGCCTTCGTGGTAGCATTTTAATCGGCAGTGACTTCGAGTCGCTGTTTCGTTTAAATTTCCTTCCTCAGTGACTGCGAGTCGCTGTATCTTTCCCCGTTCTCGATATCACGGTTCCTGGAGCTACAACCATGTCGATTCCTGTCTTCAAGCCATTCATGCGCGATGGTGACCGTACGTTTTGGCATCTTCGTACCTCTACTACTCTTGATTGACGATATCCAGGTTACCTGACTGCCACTGATGCTTTCTGTGTGGCTACATATGGCCACCGAGTAATCACAACTCCCAACATGAAATTCATTCCCCAACCCTTCGACAACGAATCCGACATCATTCAAGCGCGCGCAGATGGTAGATATTGGGCCCTGGATCCCTTCCAGTGGCCGCAGATGTATGACGACTTATACGCTCGAAGTTTTGCAATCCCACGCCAGGAAGCCTATGCGGACGACTCAAGCATGATGTACGCATGGTTCAGACCAACTTTCGCAAGTGACTTCACGCCCATTTCTCCCGGCAATCTTTTTGGTCAACTCAAGACCGACATTGTCGGCCATCTCAAGCGCTTGTACGAGAAGGCCAATACGCGGGTTAGCAATTACAAGGTTGCAAGGTCCCACAAGGAGGATCATGTAGTTGGGTGGGCGCATGCAATGCGCGCTGTCTACGAGCGCTTCCAGCAAGCCATGGCCTGGCGCGACATCGTCATAATCGTTGCTGAATATCAGCGCCGGTTTCTCGATATCTGGGCGGTTATAGACTATTACGAAATTATCGAGCCTCGCATGCGATTCGTCGACACTACGCACAAGGTTAACCCCAAATGGATGGGTTGTTTGTTTCACCGAAGATGTCGCTATCGCTACGAAGGTGCACGCTGCTGGAGTTCCTGTCTGGCTTATTCGCGATGCCAGACTTGTCAATGCCAACATGAACATCGTCAAAGTCGTTTCCTTCACACCACCCGATGACCTCGTCATCGGCATGTATCATGATCCCGTCAAACTCTTCGCCCAACCATTCGACATCATCAACAGAGGTCCCAATAATCGCAAGCGTCATGAGGCCGCTCGTCAGCCGTATTCCAACTTTGAGAAGCTACCGGTTCCAAAACCCCAAGTGGAACAGATGGTAACGAGGGAGTCATTGGTAGGAAGGGCGCGCGTAGACAAAGGGAAGGCCAAAATGAGTGCCAAGCCTGCGCCGTGTAAGTTCAGCATTCTTCTTTCATGGTTGTTGTGACTAATTAATTCCTCAGACAATGCAACCGCTCCGCGTCAGAATAAAGCTGTATCTGGCCGTGACAAGTGGTCTGATATAGATCACCCTTATATGCCGCCAATGAACTCTTTCTTCAAGATAGCGTTGGAGGACGCAAACAAAGATATTATTCGCATCAAGCATCCCAGAGACAAAATGGATGATGGGTACTCGCTTCCCGATCCAGGTTTATTCGTTAACGTTCTTTCCCCGCAATCCTTGGTGAAGTACCTTGCCAACTGGCTGGCATGCCGCCCTACCTGGATAGAACGTGTCTATGACGAAAGGCCTCGACCTCTTCCTCGCGCCCAGAACTGGCGCGATTTCTTGATATCTCAGCACGCTCAGGAACCTTCGAACACGCGGACGTCCGGCAAGACCAGCAAGTCGAAAGCAGCGACTGCTTTACTTTTCCAAAAGGAAGTTCCGGTACTGCGGGCCTTGTGGGCAGGACCCACAAATGTTCACTGGCGTGGAAAGGATATAGCCATTTCCACGCTCGACAATCCCCCCGCAGATCTCGCACGCCAAATCGTATATGAAATCTGTGAGCAAAGTTTTCGATATGAGCTTCTGGACCTGGATGAGCATCTTGGGCGCGATGCACGTAAGGACAAGGAGGCGAGGAAGGAAAGGATGGAGCTTCTTCGTAGCATCTTCCCGTCGAAGTCGTTGAAAGTTTGGAACAGGGACTTACCTCAAGAGAACGACGGACTCAATGCGCCATCTTTCGACGCCGCTTTACCATATTTCGAAAGTTTCCGCAAGGTGTTGTCAGCGTGGGAGCACTTTCCCGAGTCCCTCAAACAACCTTTTGATGCTACCGGACGTGAGCACAACATATGGAAGGGGATGAAGGAATGTTGTCTCTTTTACGTTCAGTCTTATTTCGACAATACTGGTCGTCCACCTGTCGTTCCTCACTTACTGTATTCGGTCGCCTAGATCTAGATGCTGTGTGCTCTTTTCCCATCGCAATCATTGTCATCTTACGAATTTAATTCACATATACCCCCAATAGTCAATAATTTGTATACCACCTTGTGTTACCCATTGCTGTTGCAATCACATGGGATTTTGTCATGGTTGAACAGGTTATCTTAGATATCAACGTTTATTTTCCGCATACCGCTAATATTTCAGTTTCACAGAGCAGAGTGTACACAAACAGGTAGAGTTCCTTCCTTCACATTTGCTAGCCCTCATTTGCTCCAAAGGTTGATCGACGTATTCGACCACTTTTTCGTCTGTGTATTCGACGCAAGTTTGGGACTTCGAGTCCCTCCTAGTAGTTGACTTCGTGTCGACGTTGACCTTGGTGCGGGCTTCGTGCTTGCCTTCGACTATCTCCTAGTCGACTTCGGGTTGACACTGACCTTAGTGCGGGCTTCGTGCTTGCCTTCGTGTTGACACCAACCTTAACGCGGGCTTCGTGCTTGGCTCTCAATATCTCGTTATGGTCTCATCCAACCCTATCGCTGGGCCGTCCACTCCACCCTCTCACAATACGCAGCACACGAACTCATCACTTCTTCAATGGTGACGAGGAGGCGGCGACCGCAGCAAAGCAGCAAGTTTCATCTTCCTATAGCCCCCCCACTACTCGTACTTCCCGGAAGAAAACGCCTCACCCAACAATCACTCAATAATCCAGGAAGGTCACAGCAGCAACAGCCTTTGCGCGATGCCGATACTGCTAACCAGCATGATAGTCCATCCGCTGGGAATACTTCAGAGCGTGAAGAACACTCGTCTTTCTACAGCTCACTACACTACGTCTCCGATGGTGATTCAATCCTACCTTCCCCCTCGAAGGGCCGCCAAAAGAAGATGAATCAGTGGCGACGCTGGACAAACGAAGTCATTCCTTCCTTGATCAGCTCCATACCTTACATACTTGCGCAAATCGACTTCTCTTCGCGATCGAACTTGCAACTGCAGCCAAGATGGAGTTGCCTACCTTCAGTGCAAATCGTCTTGTCGACGGAGGGTTTCTCGATATCACTTGCCATACTCTTTCAATCGTATGTCTCTCTTATTACCTGAGTTATTAGTTGTCTGATAATATCGTAGATATCGAGATATTACGAATTGAGTGCTGCACTTGCGCGCCTGCTCCCCTTCAGCTCCTGTCTCGCGGTTACTTTGCCTGCGCTTCCCATCGCTCCTTCCCTCGCTGTCGACCTTCAGTTGCTGGAACTTGTCAAAACCTTGTTCGTACATACCACTCCCAACACAACTGCTTGGTGCGAAACACTCGAAGTCTTTTCTGGCTGGCCGCGGGTATCACCTTACCACCAAGGTGAGTCAAGTGCCTATACTGAGTTTTGAAGTATCAATATTTTATAAGGATCATCTTCGTCGTCGGTTTGGTAACGCCTATCATTGGTACTCTGTACTCTTCATGAGTGCTGATGATCACCTGTCCCAATGTCATTGGAACTCATCGCCCACTTCCACCGCCGTCCACTGAGGGACTAACACGTCCAAGTGACTATCTAAGGTCTCGTTGTCCGATTTGTTTTGGCTTGGATGATTGGCGAAAAAGTAGAACTCTTAATCTCAAGTAAGTGTTTCAATATTAGCAACTAAAACAATTCTAAAGTATATGATAGACCTGACGTCCATACTTGTATTGACGCATGCTTCACTCAAAAACGTTCATCGAGACCAACGCGGTGGAGGGCCAGATCCCCCAAACCCAGTCAGATCGGTTTTCCTTTCGGACGATGAGGTGACATCGATGGAGGTTCATGTGCGGAGTTGTCGCGGCAGACCCCTTGATCGGGGGTCGCAAGAGAAAGCGACCTGCAGCCACAGAAGAGGAGGGGGATGACTACGAGGATGGCATGCGAGTCCTGACGTCTGTGCTAGATGGCTGCGGTGATTCTTTTCTTGCCGCTGATGAGAAACGTGAAAAGGCTAGTACCCAATTTTTTGCAGATACAGGCGTGATGGCCATGCTATGTCGGCACGATCGTGTATTATGGCTCGCCAACATGACGTCGGCGGGAGAAAAGCAACACTATGCTCTCGCCCTCATCCAGAAACTTTTCGATAATCTCCCTACCGATATGACCGTTGGCCTGTTGTATGACATTGGCTGTCAGCTTCATCGAAGTTGTCCTCAAGTACCGACTCCTCGATGATGCGGTTCTTCGCCGTATAAACTTTCGCGATATCAGTCTTTCACGCCTACGGCCACCAATGGGGCATGTCAAATTATATACCATCCTCGCAAATGTGAAGGCTTTGGCCTTTCGGATGGAGAAGGTTGCGAGCGTTTATGGAGTGCACTGAAACATCTCATTGCTCCGCTACGCGTTTCTGGGGTGAGTGTCCTCTGTTTCGAAAATGATTGCATACGAGCTATAGCCGCTTATGACCATACTTGCCATGGTCGGTATTATTCATTCACCTCTGGACTATACTTTACATGTTTGCTTCTTACTGACCGCTTTTTCAGTTTCATCAGCGACTTTTTGTCCTCAACACTCAAGTCCGCACCTCGATGAGAAGAACCTTAGTTATATGGCAACTGGTTGATCCGGAGGTGGATAACTGCATCAAGAAGAAGAGTACTGCAACGCAGGCTCTAAGTGAGCTTTCAGTCGATGAGATCTGTGTACGCCAGGAATGGCAATCGCAAGTTGAATATCAGACGAAACCCCTGCCTCGTTAAGTGCTACCGTTCGTGATGTACAATTACAATATTCATGCACGTGAACTCGACAGGAGATCGAGACAAATAATGACGAGGAGGAGAAATCTCAAAAATTCTCTCCCTTGAGAAATCTCTTATTGAGATTGATGGAGCGTTGCGACGCATGGAAACGCAACTTTGTATGGGAAATGTTGACAATCTCACTGACTACAATCTTCGTCTCATTGAAGAGCGCGCTCACCGATCAAGAGTCGCAGACACTTTGAGCCGCTGGAAGACAAGACTTGGCATCAGTCAGCGCACCCGTCTAGAACAACTACGTCGCAACATATATCTACAAGTCCGTTTAGACGCTCAAGCTCTTTAAACGCGTATCCGCGAACGACTCTCGACAGCGCAAGTTCGAAATTGAGAAGCTTGAACGCTCTTACAGGCAAGCTGTAAACGGTACTTATGTTCTAACTTGTACATGAGGACCTCAACTGACTGCATTTTTTTGTCACAGAGCGCAGCTTTAATTCCATGTCGATGCTGCAATCCAGCGGCGCACTCCTACGATACGAAGCTCGTGTCCACATATAATAACTTATGTGCTGATCTTAGTGCTCTTATCAGACACGCCGCAGTCCTCCGAATGCTATACCACCCAACCCCATCTCTCCTACCGGTATTTTTGATCTGATATTGATGCTGATATTTGGGGAGGACATTGGACTTGACGATGTCGTGCCGGAACCCCCTGATTGGCTAGCTGATGAGGGTCACACGTGCTGCGATCAGACTGCTGCTTGAGATTGACCGATGCAACGAAGAAGAGTCTCGTGTGAAGGTAGAGCGCTGTGCTCTGCAAGAGTGGGCCATGCGTGAGTGGGATGGTCTACAGAGGGCGCGTGCACATGCAAGTGAGTTTTGGACGCACCTCACTATATTCCATGCTGACTTTCGAAGAAGATGATGAAGCGATCCTCTATCACATGAATTGCCGTGCTCGACAATTCATTGTCCTTGTACTGGGGTGGCAGACGAAGGTTCGTCCCATTCCATGTGCATGGCCTATGCCTGACTGCTGGGGGCCGTCTCAAACCGAACTTGCTAATGGGACCCCTGTGGTGTACCCTGATGACCCTGATGACGAAGATCATGTATCGGATGATGGAGATGACTGGGAATCTGATATTGGCTGTGGTGATGAGGAGCTTATGGATGTTTTAGAAGATATTGCATTAGCGGATCAGTATAGAGGGCAAGAGGAAACATGACATCGAGGGTTGACTATGTAATTCATGAATCATTGATAGATAGCCCAACAAAACGTGTTAGATTTAATTTGTAGTACTCTAGGTGTGCTGCACAATCTAAATCTGATGAGGAAAATGTAATTGGTACTTGATATCAGAGAGGTCGAGAATGTGCATATCACGTGATTTGACCATTATGGTCAGAAATTTCCAAAGGCGCCTTGCAAGGGACCCCACTTGAGTTTGATTGAGGGGTTGCAAGAGCACCTGAAAATTTTCCAAGTTAATTGGAAAGAACTTGCCTGTGTGTTTGCACAGAGCCGCAGTGCAAGGAGCTGGTCAATTTACCCTCACTTGCAATATTCCGGCTTCCAAGGCACTTCAACAAATGGTGTTGGTAGGATCAGTGGGAAGGCCCGGTTGCTGATCGAACGGTAGGCGGAAGAGCCCAGATGATGCATATATGGTCGGTGGGAGAGCCCAAATGGTGTTGGTAGGGTTGGCGGGAAGGCCCGGTTGCTGATCGAACGGTAGGTGGGAGAGCCCAGAGGATGTGTATATGGTCGGCGGGAGAGCCCCAACATGGTGTTGGTAGGGTTGGCCGGGAAGGCCCGGTTGCTGATTGAACAGTAGGCGGGAGAGCCCAGAGGATGCATATATGGTCGGCGGGAGAGCCCAAATGGTGTTGGTAGGGTTGGCGGAAGGCCCAGTTGCTGATCGAATGGTAGGCGGGAGAGCCCAGAAGATGCGTATATGGTCGGCGGGAGAGCCCAAATGATGTTGGTAGGGTTGGCGGGAAGGCCCGGTTTGCTGATTGAATGGTAGGCGGGAGAGCCCAGAGGATGCGTATATGGTCGGCGGGAGAGCCCAAATGGTGTTGGTAGGGTTGGCGGGAAGGCCCGGTTGCTGATTGAACAGTAGGCGGGAGAGCCCAGAGGATGCGTATATGGTCGGTGGGAGAGCCCAGTTGCTAATTGAATGGCAGGCGGGAGAGCCCCGATGATGTGTATGGGGTGGGCGGGAAGGCCCAGATAGTACTAGAGAGGTAGGCGGGAGAGCCCGAACAGTTGCCATTAGCTAGTCAGATTTATCTATCCCCCCCCCTCTAGATAGCATCCCAAATTGAGATTGGCGGCCTACATTCCTCTCTTCACCTCTCATACCTCCATTAGAAAGATTTGCTTCATTGGCGATGACAAACAATTGCCACACTATGGTCAGGATGATATCCACGACCTGAAGAGCATCTTCGAGGTCAAGCATCTCAAGGACCATGCCCTCTTCCTGAACACACAATACAGGATGCCTCCTCAAATTGGAAACTTCATCTCTCAAGCTGTATATGATGGCCTACTCGAGTCGAATATGCAACACCCCGTCACGAATGAGAGGATGGCTTATCATTTTATCAACATTCCCAGCCAGGAACAGTAACATAGAAATAGCCGGAAGAACCTGGACAGTGCCAAACCATTTTCCATATTGCTACCATATTGCAAGCAAAGAATAAGCGATTCCGCATTATCACCCCTTACGACACTCAGCAGACATGAGATAGGTAAAGATCCCACATTTTATTGCATATTATCTTTGCCACCCCCCCTTCCTTGCACACCCACCCCCCCGTCGTCTTATGACAGACTCGCAAGTAAAGCTCCCACATTGTATTGCATATTATCTAATGCCACCCCCCCTTCCTTGCACACCCCCATGTCGTCTTATGTTAGACTCGCAAGTAAAGCTCCCACATTTTTTTTGCATATTATCTTTGCCACCCCCCTTCCTTGCACACCCCCCCCGCTTTGTCTTCTAACAGACTCGCAAGTAAGCTCCCACTATTGCATATTATCTTGCCACCCCCCCTTCCTTGCACACCCCCCCGTCGTCTTATGACAAACTCGCAAGTAAAGCTCCCACATTTTATTGCATATTATCTTTGCCACCCCCTTCCTTGCACACCCCCCCCCCCCCCCCGCTTTGTCTTCTAACAGACTCGCAAGTAAAGCTCCCACATGTTATTGCGTATCTGAGTCTGTGCCACCCCCCCGCCTTGTCTTCTAACAGACTCGCAAGTAAAGCTCCCACATTTTATGCATATCTGAGTCTGCGCCACCCCCCCCGCCTTGTCTTCTAACAAACTCGCAAGTAAAGCTCCCACATGTTATTGCATATCTGAGTCTGTGCCACCCCCCCCGCTTTGTCTTCTAACAGACTCGCAAGTAAAGCTCCCACACTTTATTGCATATATCTAATGCCACCCCCCCTTTGTTGCACACCCCCCGTCGTCTTATGACAGACTCGCAAATAAAGCTCCCACATTTTTATTGCATATTATCTTTGCCACCCCCCCTTCCGTGCACCCCCCCTGTCATCTTATGACAGACTCGCAAGTAAAGCTCTCACATTTTATTGCATATCCAAGTCTGTGCCACCCCCCCTCTTTGTCTTCTAACAGACTCGCAAGTAAAGCTCCCACATTTTATTGCATGTTGCTCGCAAGACAACCTCATTACTCAATGACTAGTGCTGCACTCAGTTAGACTTCTCTTACGTTTAGGACGCTGTTTCAAGCCAAAAATCCTGCAGGTTTTTGTCCCATATCAAATCTTGTCTCAAGTGCATATACTGGCCTTGCATACCTAGTACTACTCCTTCTATGGATGTACAAATCGTGAATTTTTATGCCGTCAAAATGTCTGAAAAAGGACCCCTATCACCCCTATTTATGATGGGAAAGCCCTCCTGATAAATGCCCTGGGACATCCCAGAGACATGCTAGAGTGATCCCAGTTGGGATTGGGAAAGATCAAAAAATAGGTCCTTGGGATGGCCCAGATACTTGCTTCAGTATGGACCGGGACATCCCAGTACATGGGGTAAAATACTGGGAATACCATCCTAGAACACACCCACTAGGTCCTTTGCTAGCCACAAACACATAGACCTAAGAGGTCATTTCAAGTGGTTGACTGAAGTGCACATTTACCTTCTTCCTACTATTATACCTATAGAGCCTGACACAAGCTGCCAGTCAACTAAATCATTCCCACAAGTGCCTGATCATGTTGCAGCTCCAATACCAACAGTTTATCACCATCAACTTTATACACTGAATGTTTGATGTCACTGTAACAATCAAGCTTGAACTGAGTTTGTATCAGTCATAATTTATCTGACTCACCTTTAGTCATCTCCAACACTTTCTACATCAGTGCTGGCACTTCTTATATTGGACTCCATTGGATACCCATTGGACCCACTTAGACATTTCACACATGCATCCTCCCTATTTCCAGTCCAGTCCTGCCTAACTCCACTGGTGCATAGTCAGTTATTTCTCATTACTGATACTGTAGACAGTGTTATTACATGGATTCCCACTGGGGATAGCACCTCATGGCCTTTTACATACATACTTGGACCTAGGCAATAGCATGGGTTTTGAAAACCCACATGGGTCATGGGTATGGATACCTGTGGGTTGGGTAGGAGTCTCAGCTTTCTGACCCTCCATATATCCATACCCATAGGCATAGTATGGGGACTCAAGAAATTTAAGGCTTAGAATAGGCCATTATCCACTTTTATTCTCAATACCTCCACACTGCAATGAGCTGCAGCCACAGCCACTGTGACAATCAAGTTTTCTCTGGGCTTAAATTGACAGTTTCCACTTAATTATGGGTTTCATCCCTCTTGACATAACTGCATCAAATAATTGACTTGAAAATGATAAAGCCTTATCTAACCTGAAACTTATACAATATCTAGCAGAATTGTAATCTACTTGAGAAAGCTTTTGTAAGAAAACAGGCTATCCAAAGAGGACAACAAGAAGAAGCAAGGTTCAATAACTACTAACATGCATACTACATGCTGGTATGATTATGTAAGGTACTGTATGAAGCAGCAAAGTACGGATTTCCAGGTAGGCCATGAAGGAGGGTGACTAAGATGATGGTACTGTTGACTTCAAAACTGGTAGATTTGAGGCAAAAAGTGAGGTCTTGTACAGATGCAATCCAGGCTTACATGAGCTGCTCATATGAGTGAGGTTGTCCCAGATGGCCTTGGGGTCTCCATCTTCAACATGTGCATGTGGAAGTTGAGAGGTAGAGAGGTGAAGTAAGTTTGGCCCTTGCAAGCTTCTGCTTGCAGACAAAGGCTTTCACCTGCTTTGAATTGGATCCAAACAAGGGCCTAGTCTCTGCACCTTTCATGACATCCCACAGGTCCTGCTCCTCCAGAAGGGCCTCCATTTGCATGCTCCATTCCACATAGTTAGTGTCATTGAGCTTTTTGAAAATGATTTTTGACATCATGAAGAGTTGAGATAGGAAGGGGAAGGATGGTGTCATACAGACAAGGTACGAAGGTATCATGCACAGGGAACTGCACAGGTACGGGTATACCCGTGCGGGTGCGGGATACGTGTGGGGTACAGGTACGGGTCAGGTATTGTGACACCCATACCCCTACCGGTACCCTCACGCTGGGTTTTGATTAAAATAGAAGGCCACGCAATGCGTAACATTTGATTAACTAAAAATAGCATTACTGTACAGTTGCAAACAGTTGAATTTTAAACAAAATGGTGCTACAATATTCTGCTAGCGTGACACATCCAGCCCTGCAAATTTTCATCATCCACTAGTACCACCACCCACCATGCAGCCCAACAATACTCTTGCGGCTATGGCAAACTGCATACTAACATTGTTTTGTTTGCATCTGTTAGATCCTAAAGGATGCAATGCTCTACTTCTCATGTGCAACACCCAACCTTACGACTGTGATCCCAGCAATGGATCACGTCGATAATATGCTCACATCCTACTCCTACAACAGAAAATATATACTCTCAATCCATTCTGCAGTTTGGCTCGCTAAGAACACCCTCAACCGCTATTACCAGCTCACAGACAACTCTGTGACATATTGAATCGCAATGGGTATGTAATGTTCCATTTTTGTTTTTGTTTTTAAAAGACTGACATTTATATAACTCTAGTCTTACATCCACAGCATAAACTAACATACTTTAAAGCAGCACGATGGGAAGATGACTGGATCAAAATGGCAGAGAGACTTGTGCAGCGAAGAATTTGAATGTTCGTACTTATTGATCAACAGCAGCTCTGATGTGGAGTCCGAGATTGGTGTCTTCAAGTCAAATGACAATGTACAGATGGTATGATTTGTTTTATTCTTTATTTCGCATCTGTACTAAATAATTCTTAGAGTGATAATATCTTTGACAACCTCCCAGTGCTCACACCCCCAAAACCTGTTAACTCAGACTCCGAAATCGACCAGTACCTCAGTATGGACGTGGAACATGTCACTCACCCTATTGCTTGGTGGCGCAAACATCAGAAGTCTTTCCCCCAGCTTTCATGCATGGCTATTGACTATCTTACCATCCCTGGTATGTAACTAACTTGTTTAACGCACTGCAAGCTTACATTGGCCCACAGCAACATCTGTTGATGTTGAACAGTTGTTCAGTCGCGGGCATCTCATCTTGTCGCATGTCAGAAACCGTCTATCAGCTCAGTCGACACGCACGCTTCTTTGTCTTGGCCTATGGAGTGAGTTGGGCCTCATCGAGTCTGATGATGTGATTCAGGTATCAAAGCTCCCAGATGTTGTGGGGGAAGATGAAGTCATGGCTGATGGATGCGACAGTATTTCAGACTAGCTTATACACTTGTTATCTTGTAGTTGTAATTCACAGATACCCACCAGTCTGTTATGTAAGTACCCATCGAAAAACCCGTACCCATGCAGTTCCCTAATCATGCAGATGGATGGTGGCAGCAGCATCATACAGACAGCAGCAGTGGTGTCACATGGACTGTCCAACACAAAGATAGTGGCTTGAGTTGTAGTTTGAGGGACTGTGCAGTGGCTAATTGAGTAAGCAGAGGTGAGACTAGAGCTCAGGGCTCAAAATGTATAAGAAAACAGGCTGTTCAAAGAGGACAATAATGATGAGAAGCAAGGTTTGATAACTACTAACTTGCATACTACATGCTGGTACAATTATGTAAGGTACTGTATGAAGCGGCAAAGTACAGATTTCCAACAGCTTTATATACCTGGACCAAGTTGGATGAGAACTGCCTGAAGCATAATCATGGCAGACAGCTTGTAATTGCCTGCCATCTTTTCACATGTTACAAAGCATGATAAAGGTTCATAAGGCCAGGCTGTTTCAGACACAAGTTGTGAGTAACCTGAGGGTGCTGATGAAATACCAGCAAGTCTCAGGCCTTGTCACTCATTTTTATAAATACAATCAGTTTTTTATTAAAGGGGTATACAGAGGTAGTATGGTAGTATTACTGCATAAGAAAGAGGGCAGTAGGGAGCACACTGATCGTCAAATGGTGCAAGCAGTGGGTTAAGAAGCTAACATTAACTAGCAGTGG